GGCAGCCAGACTTCAAAACGATCTCACTAAACACATAAACTCCAAATAACTGCTTCACTTAAATATCAATCCTCCGAAGCAGACACTCGTCCTCAATATCCGCTTCGTTCCTTGACTACAAACGACACACCAACTTGGGTAACCTTTGCTCTTCTCGAACAACACAATCGGCGCACTCCACAACGAACCACTCAAACAAACAAACTCTAATAAAACCAATATTCAAGTTGACTCTTCAACTCTAATTCAGAAACAAACATCCCTTAAGGATACTTCGAATCCCAACTAGTTCCAGAAACTAAATCCATCAAAACTTCACCTCGCACTACAGCGGTAATTCACTCACATTTCCACAAAAGGTTTCAGAAGAATCACAACAAGAAGCTCGCTTGCCAAGAATCTTATTTCTCACCAAAATCCAAATTCGCTCACAACTCAAGTAACCATGCACTGCCTTGTGCCAACTCATCTGCTTCACACTCTATTAAGTTGGCAAGACAAGTCTATCCCAAACAACACAATTCCCGACTACTATCAACAAGAGATTAAGGATGATCAGTCCCTCAATTTGTCAATGGACAGTCGACAATCATGAAGTGGCATTAACCATCGTTACCAAACCACAACAGCATCTTCAATCTTACCCCTCAAGCTATTTAAACATAACCATGCTTGAAGCATCAACTGCTCGGCAATACTTACCTCTTACAATCGGCGGTATACTGAACCAACCTCTTGCACAAAATTTCAAAGAAGAAACTTCTCCCCCACTTATATCACACGTACCTCTGCAGACAACGAAAAAGAAATAATCAAGTACCGACAGTGTTTCACACACATGTCGCGTACCAAAAGGGATTAAACACATAAACAACCTGGCCGATAGACCGACCTGCTCTGATACCACTATTGTAACACCCCTTCTAAATACCCCAATTAAAGGTAAAGATTAAAATCAGAGAAACAAAATTGCACGGAAGGGATGCCACAACACACATCACATTCCAAAGTTTTTAAGGAAAAACGGACAGGGTATGTTTGAAAGTATAAGCATTCCAACACAAAACAAAACATACCATAAATATTTACTTCATTCTCTCGTGCAAACGCAACGGAGTTTCATAATTTCACATCATCTCCATTTATGGAGGAATCAAAACATAATTCAAGGCATCAAGCCATCATAATTCACATAAGCATATGTTATCAAGTCTCACATATACAAAACATCATATACACGAATAAGGATTATATACATCATAATCCAAATACAAAATAATCGAGTTCGACACTAAATAAATCCCCCCCCCCCATGTGTTACTACCAGAGCATCGACTCGACTCTAATCAAAATAAAACAGATTGCAATCCAATGCATCCGTTAGCTAGCGCCTCGCGCTACCGTCCTCAGTACCTGCACAATGCCATCAAAAGCATTGGCCAACAAAAGGGTAAGAATTCCAATAATCATATAACATGTAATTTTAAGTAAATGAAATGGCAATAAATAAAGCAATACATAATGATCATGTTCATTTTATCACCTGTAGTATCCTTACTCAAGGAGTCCATTTCCAACACATTAACCATGTAAACCGATTATCCGAATATTCACATCCTTGGCACATAACCATAATTCAAACAACAACAATATTGGCACATAATCAAACACATCAACACACATACATAACATGCATAAATATACATGTGACTCACAACACGACTCAACGTATGCGAATGCGGTACCGACTCGTGGACCCAAGGTTCCACCACCTATATTTCCCTTCCGGATCAAGGTCACTACGTCTTTTCCCACAATAGGGTCACCGTCTAGATATTGTGGACCCAATGTTCCACCACCTATATTTCCCTTCCGGATCAAGGTCACTACGTCTTTTCCCACAATAGGGTCACCGTCTAGATATTGTGGACCCAATGTTCCACCACCTATATTTCCCTTCCGGATCAAGGTCACTACGTCTTTTCCCACAATAGGGTCACCATCTATAAAATCATGTGAACCCACAGTTTCACCATCTCTGTTTCAAGACCAATCATGCCATGCAATGTACAATATAACCAATTCATGCAATTAAGATTCACAATAATCTTAACATACACATACCATCAAATCCAACCAATGGAACATCAACTATTGCACATGCATGCATACATATAATTTAACAATCTCAACGTCAAGTAAAATGTATACAAACAAGTTACGTACTCAACCAAAATATAAACCATCAACTATCAACAATTCCAAATAGGAAAGTATATTTCAACATAAAGTCATTATCAATGAACCGTCATTACTCTCAATGTTTCTCATCACGATCGAGTCACCGGAATGTAACTCGAACGGTTAAATTCGGGATTAAACTCAACTTATTTCATTCGTACTAAAATCGGGTTGATTCTTAAAAAGTTGAAATTTCGCAAAACGAACTTCACTATGTTAATCTACACGTCGGATTATGCTAGCACGTCAATTTCTTTGAATTCGGAGTAACTTGCTCCGTCGACGAATCTACCGAAATCGGAACACAATCGGGTTCCAAAGGAAGTGCGAAAAATCAGAATTTTGGAGGCTACAGAAGCATCAACACGGGCACCCGTGTGCTGCAACACGGCCCGTGTTGAGAGGCCACCAGAACGAGCAAAGAAAATGCCAAGTCAGAGCATCAACACGGGCACCCGTGTGCTGCAACACGGCCCGTGTTGAGAAGCCTGCGTGAAAACTCCACTCTTTTGAGTTATTCTCATTCTACTACCATGGTTTTCTTTCCCATTTCAATACTCTTAATTTCTGCAAGCTAGCACCTAATACACCCATAAACCATACTCCTAATCCAACTTTTCTAAACCATTCTAACAATCAACCAACAAAACCCTATAAATCAACTATCAATTTTACCCCCAAATCCAAAATATATCATACAAAACCTAACAATATGAGATGGAGAATCAAACCCCTTACCTTGGTGTGGGTTTTCTTGAAACAAGATGATGAAGATGGTGCAACTCCAAACCTAGCTTCCTTCCTTCCTTCTCCTCTTTCTCCCTTCTTTTCTTTCTTCTTTCTCTTATTCCCACTACTCTTACTAACTCTCCTTTTCTATTTTATAAAACTATCCTTCTACTACTAACTTTCCTCCCTCTATCTTTCTAAATTTATAATTTGGCCCCAACAATTATTTAATTCAAATTATATCATATAATTCTATTAAAACTATATTACATTTATTTAATATTTATTCCATAAAAACTAAATTATACCGATAAATCAAACGAAGCCAAATACACACCAAAATAATATTACTCAAAATAGTATTTTATCATTATGAATATTTTTATTTCAAATAACCGAATTAACATTTAATCATAAAACGGGGTGTTACACTGAGCAGATCAGACATATTGTTTTTGATTTTGGTCTCATGGATTTCGCCGACTGCTCATTGACCATGCTTGACGCTTCACTTCTGACTGCTTTTGTTGAGCGATGGCATAAAAAGACATCTTCCTTTCATCTTCTATTTAGGAAGATGACTATCACTTTGGATGATGTTTCCTCCTTGTTCCATCTATCCATCGCTGGTAGATTCTTTAATGCTCTTGTTATTAACCAGACGACAATATTGCTAATGGTTGTGTAGGATTTGGGAGTCACTGAGGAGGCTATGCTAGAGGAGTTTGAATTTAACAGGGAGCTCACCTTAGGATGTCTTGGCTTCGGGATATGTACCACGATCTTATGGAGACACATATGTATAAGGCTGTCGCTAGGGCGTACATGCTAGATCTAGTAACATGTACTCTCTTTGTGGATAAGTCTCATATTTATATTGATGCTTGGTACTTGTGGATGTTTAGTACTAGTAGCTGGCCTTGGGGGTGTGTTGCATTGACCATTCTGTCAATGACACTTGGATTTGCGACTGTCCTTAAGACCAGACAACTTGCTGGTTATTTGAGTCTATTTCAGGTATACTACGAATTATTATTTAGTGTTTAGTTCTTATTTAGTTTTTATTTGTGACATTTCTTATTTGTTATTTGTTGTATCTGTCTTATTTTACCAGTGCTGGATATACGAGTATTTCTCCACCATCTATGATAGGAGGGTGTAGCATATCCCATGCGGGAGCCCCACAGTCGAGGATATGAAAGGCCAGACAATCACATCTAGGTGGTGTTGTGGAGTACATGAGGAGGCTTGATGCTCTAAGAGTAGAAGATGTCATTTGGACTCCATACACATGTAATGTGGGTCCACAATAGCATACCCCTATGCAGGATCTCCACGAGCGAGGATATGGAAGGCCAGACAATCACATCCAGGTGGTGTTGCGGAGTACACGAGGAGGCTTGATGATCTGAGAGTAGAGGATGTCATATGGACTCCATACACATGTGGAGCTGTCAATATGGGCTCCCGACCCTAAATGGACCGGCCCATGCAGGCCTCAGGCTTTTCAGAGTCGAGCTCAAAATACCCATATTTAAATGGGCTCTAGTTTTACTATCTAGGCCCAACCCTGTCTGGGCTGCGGGCTATCCAGTCCTAAAAGGGCCCCGGTCCTAAATTGGCCAATTTCTAAAAAAAATAAAAAATTTCTCCTTATTTTTTTAAGTAACCATGCAATCGCAATTTGCATGCAATAATACCTGTATCACACGTTACCTTAGAATTTCTCATATCCAAAATTAGAATTTTTAAATAATGATTTCTAAATAAGGACTTCTCATATCCAAAATTAGGATTTCTAAATAATCCATATAAGTTAACAATTAAAATGTAAAATAACACATTAACTTAATTCAAACTATTCAAAATACACCACAAATTATCCAATGTAGCATGCAAAATTAAATAACTTGTTCCAACAAGTTTTAAGTTACAAATATTCATGATAACACAAAATAATGATAACACAAAATAACTTTGTTCCTTCCAAGATAACACAAAATAACTTTGTTCCTTCCAAGATAACACAGTCAAATAGTCCTAACTCGACTCACAACGTCACTTGAGTTTTCTTCAACGACTTTCACACGTTCAAATGTGTTGGATGCTTGTCCACTTTTATCATCTTGATTAGTGTTAATCTCATTATCAAATTCTACAAAAACAAGAAAAGTAGTCGTTAAAAATATTAAAAAACATATAACCAAGTTTATAACATGCATAATATGCAACACTATGATAATACTAAAAACATATAACCAAGTTTATAACATGTAACACTCAGATACACTTGAGTAAAGTTAACAAGTTTACCTTCAAAATCATATAACCAACTCCGTGTGCACATGAGAGCTTGAACAAATTCCTCTTTCATTGAACTTCTATACTTGTTTAAAACTCGAGAGCCAATACTAAAAGCAGATTCAGATGCCAATATGGTTATTGGAATACTCAATATATCACAAGCCATTCTTGCAAGATTGAGACATCTACGATTCTTTTCTTTCCAATAAGCCAAGATATCAAAATCAACCGATAGAGGCAACCTTTGTTCATCTAAATAGCATCAAGTTCATATTTTTCAGTATTGTTACTTGCTTGACTTTTATGCTCTTCTACGAATTAAACATACAAAAAATGGTAGCAGCACAACTCAAGAATTTTCCACAACCCTTACATTTACATTTCTCTTTACCATCTATAACCCCAACCTTTAAAAAATGTTTTCACACTTCAGACATAAGGGCCTTTTGTTTTTTGGTATATGGTTCAGAAGACTCTTCTTCACTAATCTAATTGTTATCAAGATCAATTACATTAGACTGACCAAATAGTGGTACAGGTGGAGTTGTCCTAACTTGCCTAACATTAACCTCACTATCACTACTAATTTCCATGACCAATATATTCACAAACCTAGAACAGTTTCAAACATATAGTTTCACTCAGTTTCAACATATAATTTGAACATAGTTTTAACATATTCACATAATTCCTATTAACATATTCATATATATAGACCAAAGTTACAATTTAAACATATTCATAATTTGAACTCAGTTTCAACATATAAACCAAAGTTAAAGTAACATGAAATTCCTATATAATTTGAACTCAATTTTAACATATAAATCAAAGTTACAGTAACCTGAAATTCCTATATAACCTGAAATTCCTATATAATTTGAACTCAAAATTCCTAAATAATTTGAACTCAGTTTCAACATATAAATCAAACTTACACTAACCTAGAATTGTAGAAGTCGAAGCGACGATGCAGCGACAAGTCGAAGCAAAGTCAAGAAGTAACAAAGATGGAGCTATCAAACTCGAAGCAAAGTCATGAAGTTGAAGATGGATATGTCGAACTCGAAGCAAAGTCACAAAGTCGAAGATGGAGCTTTCGAACTCGAAGCGAAATCACAAAGTCAAAGATGGAGCTGTCCAACTCAAAGCGAAGTCACATAGTCGAAGCAAAATCAAGAAGTAATGAAGTCACGAAGTCGATGAAACAACGAAGTAATGAAGTCGAAGAAACAACGAAGTAACAAAGTCGAAGCTGGAGAATTTGAAGATGGAGAAGTCGAAGATGGACGCAACCGAACAATTCACCTTCAAGATTTCAATTTCAGTTCCAGTCGAGGCAGGCAGTAGCGAAGTGGAACTGTCGAACTCATATTAGGTTTCGCCATTTCACTTTCAGTCTCTTTAGTTGTTCGTTCATGAGGGCTAAGAGAGTAATTTTTAATGGGCCCAATTAAATATGTATCTTTTTGTATCGTAAGTTAGGAAGAGATAATTTTAAATTATATTAAAAAATTAATTCTTTTTGGGATGGCGGGCTACTCATAGCCCATATTGGCTGACCCATATTTTTGGGGCTTTTTTAGGCGGGGCTAAAAAAGGCCCGGAATTAAATGAGCTCAAAAAATAAGGCTCACGCCCTAACTTTGTTTGGTCTCGATGGGCCTGTCCATGGGCTTTGGCTCATTTTGACAGCTCTATACACAGGTAATATGGGCCCATAGTGAGTGTGATGAGTCATCTTTATTTTCAGGCCATATGAGTGGGAGACCTTAGTGGTTAGACACTTGTCTGAGAGGTGTCTGCGACAATATCGGTATCTCCAAGGCATCCCATGATCAGTTCTAGATGTTCCAGCTGTAGACATTGACATATGGTTTTAGAGTAACTTCATCAGTTATGCTCGTGCTATTATAAATAAAGAAATGAAGGTTTAACACGATTTGCAATGTGATGATGGTTACTTGGAGTGGTATATCACTGTATCACACTCTCATCATCCCGCATGCTGCCAGGCCTTCCGATGATGGAGGTGCCTTTTGATGGTGGGATTTCTGAGGCTGAGGTACAGGCTAACGACGTGCCGCCACCGTCACCTCCACCAGGCACAAATGACCAGGAGAGCCTGCAGATGATCGTTGTTATTATGGATAACCTCATGGGTTTGGTAAACTCAGATGGGTGATATTTTTATTGGATTATATCTAATAACACACATAGCTCGTAGGTGACCTATTTAGTTATTTGATTTGACATTTGTATTATTTGTATATTATGTGACTCATACTACTTAGCACAATCCATATGATTGAAGAAGGATTTGAAAAATTTGAGTCTGGATTCAGTTTCTGTGTAGAAAAAGAGAGGGGTTAGTGTTGAAAGTTTTAATTTTTGAGGTGTCGCGGCAGTGAACTCGTCAAATAAGATGGTGGTTTTTGTCGTGAGCCGCCGCTCACTTTATCTTCTCCGGCGTAACTTTTTTCTTTCTGATCACATTTAGTTGCAGACCCCTATCTATATCAGTAGGGAAGATGAAAAATATTGTAACACCCAACACATATATTGCCTAAGATATATGTATCTGGTATTAAAATGGTATATAAACATCCATACATAAGCAGCGGAAATAGAAATATGTCTTAGTACAAATTACAACTTGCCGAAATCGTCATGGCCAAAATAATACAATTCCAAAAGTACTAATACATATCCAGAATACATAGAATAAAGATCCAAAAAGAAACAAAACATCGCCACGAAGCACCATCAACAAGCTAAGTCATCTTACCCTTGCCACGATCCTGCCTTGAAGAACCTGAAAAAGATAATTGGAATGGGGTGAGATTACTAAATCTCAGTGAGTCCCCCTATCTTAAGGGTTCACTCAGTTCTATAGGGTGCATGTATCACAAATTGATCCACCGCGAATCCGAGATTTCTCTCACGATTGAGTTCATGAACACATCAGCAGTACACCACTATTGGAAGTTCCATACATGCCCAATGAGGTAAAAACAAACATATAATTGAATACAAACTAGTATGCAGACCCGTACCCGTGTACAAGGAATCCAGGAGTAAGTTTACTTGCCCCTACTCAAGTTACACAATCACACCCTCAGTGAGTTACACACGTGCATCACATCGAAAGACTTTCCTCGGTCATAACACGATGATCCGAATCATTCCTAAGTGGAATTCCATCCATGACAAGTTCTAGAGTGACATTGCCGATAAGGCGTCATAACTCATCCGTCATCCAAAAACATATGATTAACTGTCGGTGCAAAAACACCATTTCTATAACACGAGCCCACCAGGGAAAGCCTAATGGTCTTGCCCACATGGCACCATTAGAGGTGAGTTAGAAATCTGCAAAGTAATATTGCTTACGTAGCATCACAACCCCACCATACCAAGCACGCGATGTTCTTAACTGCTGGTGGAACGCTGCTCATGAACCCATATAAGTGCATCACAATGGTAGCTAAGGTGTTATGACATACCGAGCACGCATATGTGATCTCATCAAGTGTGGAAACGCCCTGCCATTTTGGACCACAACTGCACATCGCAACGGTATAAATGACACACATGGTCTAAGTCATAAGTGATTTACGTCCTAGTTGTCAGGCCTACTCCGATTCAAGCATACATCAAAATCATAATGTGTATCAAGCCAAAAAGGAACACATCAATCTACACAATCACAATAACGAATGTTAAACCGGAACAACGTACAATCACAATTATTCCATATAATACCACATATCACATAATACATACATAAATCCATCCGAACGTTCAATCCAGAATGAACGAGAACATATGCTAAATCATGACATATAATTTATCATATAATGTGATTTCAACATATATATATATATATATATATATATATATATATATATATATATATATATATATATATATATATATATATATATATATATATATATATATATATATATATATATATATATATATATATATATATATATATATATATATATATATATATATATATTCATGTTATAATGAATAAACAATCACTAAGATTAAAGAGGCGTCTGATACCCACCATGGTACGGAACTGCGCTCAAGGGATCTCAATAATACAGTTATGTTCAGGAGGGCACGTTGAGCGGAGCCTCCCGCGCTAAGCGCGGTCTACAAAATAAACAGTTTCAAGTTCCATGTAGACGCCCTAAGCGGAATTATCGCGCTAAGTACAGTATGAGAATTCTCAAAATTCAACTTCCATGAGGGCGCGCAGCTGCACGCCAAGCGCGGTCTGTAAAAAACAAAAAACACAACACAGAGACAGTTCTTCCATGGTGTTCCAGAATCCCATTTTCACCATTCAAAATCAGTACCCATCATAAGAAATCACAAATTTAAGGTGAGGGTTATGTTATTCATCCATAAAAATTAACATGCATTCAACAATTTGATTCTGTCCAACCCTAACCCCAACATGTCATAAACCCAATTTCCCCAAGTTTCTAATCTATGGGAATCACTTTATATGTAGATGAAGTATAAGTTTCAGCATATAATGAAGAGGATGATGATGGATCAATAATTTGGGACATGCAAGAGATGATGAAGATGAGCTTGAAATGCGTTTTCCTTTTTATTCCTCTTCTTTCACGCCTCTTCTCTCCTCCTATCACTTGAATCTGATTTTGTTTTGGAATAATGAGATTAGAATAACCAAACGAACCCTTACTATCCTAATTTAAGTGGAAAAGACTATAATGCCCCTCACTTGTATTAATATCGTCTCCAATTCCATTCATACTACTAATAACAAGTGTTTGGTACAATTATCTTTTACTAACCTTTCACAAATTAATTAGTAGAAGTAATTTCATTAGAAATATAATTACACCGAGTATTACATCCTCCCCCCTTAAATTAGAAATGGTCCTCGAATTCAAAAACTTACCAGAAAAGATGAGGATAATGCTCTCGCATCTCTGACTCGAGTTCCCAAGTAGCTTCCTCGAGACAAGATGCTTCCCACAACACTTTCACAAGAAGTATCTCCTTACTCCTCAAGGTGTTACTAGCACACTCCAGAACATAAACAAGTTGTAGACGATAGGAAATCTCAGGTTCTATCTCAATGGCATTTGGAAGGATAGGATGAAAAGAGCCTGGCACGAACTTTCAAAGTTAAGACACATGGAAGACATCATGTAGTCCAGATAGTGAAGGAGACAATGCTAACTGGTATGCAACTTCGCCTACCTGTCTCATGATTTGATACGGTCCCACATATCTCAGACTAAGCTTCCAAGTCTTAAACGGTCCTTTCAACTTTAATCTCGGAGTAACTTTCAAATACACATGATCACCTTCTTCAAATTCCAAGAGTCTTCTCCTTTTATCTACAAAACTCTTCTAGAGATCTTGTGCTTTCTTCATCTTCTCTTGGATCATTTTAATCTTCTCCTTTGTATCTTGAATCATCTCTGGTCCAAGGATTCCCTTTTCACCAACTTCCGACCAACACAATGGTGATCGACATTTCCTTCCATATAAAGCTTCGTATGGTGCCGTCCCAATACTCGAGTGATAACTATTGTATATGAAAATTCAATCAAAGGCAAGTGATCCTTCCAATTCCCACCACTTTCCAGAATACATGCTCTCAACATGTCTTCAATTGTCTGAATAGTTCTTTTTGTTTGTCCATCGGTTTGTGGATGATTTGAAGTAATCAAATTCAAATCTGTTCCCATCTCTCAGTGAAACTCTTTCCAAAATTGCGAAGTAAACTTTGGGTCTCTATCCGAAGCAATATTGGACGGTACACCATGCAATCTTACAATTTCTGCCACGAAGAGTCTTGCTAGGTGAATCATTTTATGAGCCGTCTTAACCAGCAAGAAATGCGTGGACTTCGTCAATCGATCTACAATCACCCATATAGAATCATATCCACCTAAGGTACACGGTAACCCCACGATAAAATCCATAGATATGCTGTCCCATTTCCATATAGGAATGTCCAGTGGTTGCAACATACCACCAGGCCTCTGGTGTTTTATCTTCATATGTTGACAAATCCCACACTGCTCCACATAGTTAGCAGCATCCCTCTTCATACCGGGCCACCAAAAGTTCTTCCTTAAATCTTGATACATCTTGGTCGATCCAGGGTGAATGGTAAATTTACTCTTGTGGGCTTCATCCAAAATAATTCTCTTCAACTGCACGTCACTAGGCATGCATA